TATTCTGGATGAGTTGAAAAAACGTTTCATGTCTCCTCCAAGAGATTTCTTTAGTCTGAGGAGTTTCAGGTAAACTCATAAGGCAGTGCCTTCACATGGTGGACAAAAATGTTTAACGATGAGAGTCAAAACAGTTACATGCAAAAGAGGACCATCAGCCTAACAATCGATCATTAGAGCCCTGATTGTCCCTACCGTCCTCCACAGCTCAAGGCAGCTGTCTCAACAACTGAAGCATGGAACATGGCCCACTATTGTCCTCCAGCAAACCCTCACTTCACGTTTGGGTCTACCGGTTCTGCACATCTTATTCTCCCTTCATCTGATCCAACTCATTACCAGGTGGTGATCTGCTGACAGCTCAGCTCCTCTCTTCGCCCAAGTGTCCAAAACGTATGGCCGCAGATCAGATGACACGACTACAAAGTCAATCATTGATCTACGATCTAGGGTGTCCCGGTGCCATGTGCACATATAGACACACTTATGTTTGGAACATGATTTTTGTGATGGACAAACCGTGACTAGCACAGGAGTCCAAGAATGGAACACCGCTTGGTTTTAGATCAGAGAGGAAGTTCCTTCCAGTCACGCCCCCCCAGGTCACGCTGTCGTTACTCCTGTGATCATTGAAGTTCCCCAGCAGAATAAAGTTATCCCAAGCTGGAGCACCTTCCACCGACTCCAAGAAGACCAGAATCTCTGAACAGTCATTTGGCGCATAGACACGACCAACAGTCAAAGATCGTTCCCCCACCTGAAGGGACAGGGACGCTACGCTTTAATCTACTGAGGAAAACTCCAACACACAGTTAAATATACATTTTAATCACAAAATTTAAAGAAAAATCTCATGTATAATTCTTCTTCTGAGTGCCCTTATTACACGTCATAACAACATGACTGAGACAAAGAGTAGAATTTAAACAGGCAAAGTTGATTAATGAGTAAATTCAGCAGGATTGCAGATTGCTAACAGGTGTGTGAGACATGTATTACAGGCTGAGGGAAACAATGATCAAGTACATGAAACTCAAAAAACTAAAACTGCCAGATTATCCAGAAACTAAGAATATCTAACAAACTGAATAGACTCATTCCTGTACATCTGTGTCTTTGGATAAAATTGCTTATGGACAGAAATTGAACTGTTTCATAGCAGTTCTGTAGACTAGTGGATTGTTTGGACCTTAGTTATGTGAGAACAAAGTAACATTCTGCTTAAATGGTGTGTGGGATTGGCGTGGCTCTAAAAGGTTTGGTCTTTGTATGCTACTGCTTGGTGGTTTAAAGTAAAGGTACAAAGACTGGGTAGGATAATGACGATGATAATAATAATAATCTATTTATAGAAGAAGAATGTTATTGGTTTTCCACTTTTCTGCAGAACAAAAGGTCATGTCAGACTGGGAGATGACACGCCAGGTGTTTTCTTTGTAGTCCTTTTCACAAAAGGTTTTCAGTGCATCTCACGTGTCAGGTCTGTAAGTGAAACCTGCTGCGTTTGATGTGTTCACGACAGACAGTTCCTGTTTGTTTGTTTGTCAACACAATGAGGAGGTGAAAGAGAAAAGCTCTGTGTGCTGATCACACTGCAAAAGAAACATTATTACCGTAATACTACATCAAGTTTTAGTGGATGAGGTTATAAGACTGTGATCTACTGTAGCAGCTACAGTTCTAAGCAGAGCAAGAGTCTGGATTTATCATTACTGTGTTGGCAACTTAGAGCAAACAAAATGACTGATGATGTAGAAATCATAAGAACTATTAATAACAATATTAACAAATTGTTATTGATATTTCAAAGTGTATATAATCTATCTTTAAAAACTGTCATTTTATTTTATTCACCTCAATTTGGATGTGACCTGATCAGAACTGAAGCTAATAATGTAAGTGTTAAAGTTAAAATAAGCTTATAAAGCAGATATACAGTAGTCACTGTTAATTATTGAACTGGTTAGCAGACATTAGCTTCTGTAGTATATATTTTCATACAGAGTGTAGCACTTCTGAGTCATGCTACAATTTAGCATAAAATATTAAATATTACAAGCTGGTTTTGCCTCTAATTTATGTTATTTTATACAGTGTAAAATAATATTTTATATCTAACCATTTTTAGGTTTCTGTTAGACAAATCAGCCCTGTTGAAGATGGTTAGCTAATATCACTAGAGACAATTTTCATCCTATATTTCCAACCCCAGTGAACATTTTAAAGTGTTGACTGGTAAATATCTAGTATTATTAATGACAGTAAGGAATAATGCATGTACTTCATTACTAGTTGAAATCATATTTTCTAGCTAGCTAAAAGTCCAAGATATTGACTTCAGGTCTAGTTTAGATCATTTCTACTTATAAATGGTATATTTTCAGGTTAATTTCTGCTCTTTTACATTATTGTTGAATGGAATTAACATAATTATTCATTTATTGTAAAAAAAATACAGATAATTTGTGACACAGGTATACAGTGGGGAAAATAAGTATTTAGTCAGGCACCAATTGTGCAAGTTCTCCCACTTAAAAAGATGAGAGAGGCCTGTAATTGACATCATAGGTAGACCTCAACTATGAGAGACAAAATGTGAAAAAAATTTGAGAAAATCATTTTGTCTGACTTTTAAAGAATTTTTTTGCAAAAAATGGTGGAAAATAAGTATTTGGTCAATAACAAAAGTTCATCTCAATACTTTGTTGTATATCCTTTGTTGGCAATGACAGAGGTCAAACGTTTTCTGTAAGTCTTCACAAGGTTGGCACACACTGTTGCTGGTATGTTGGCCCATTCCTCCATGCAGATCTCCTCTAGAGCAGTGATGTTTTGGGGCTGTCGGCGGGCAACACGGACTTTCAACTCCCTCCAAAGGTTTTTGATGGGGTTGAGATCGGGAGACTGGCTAGGCCACTCCAGGACTTTGAAATGTTTCTTACGAAGCCACTCCTTTGTTGCCCTGGCAGTGTGCTTGGGATCATTGTCATGCTGAAAGACCCAGCCACGTTTCATCTTCATTGCCCTTGCTGATGGAAGGAGGTTTGCACCCAAAATCTCACAATACATGGCCCCATTCATTCTTTCATGTACACGGACCAGTCGTCCTGGTCCCTTTGCAGAGAAACAGCCCCAAAGCATGATGTTGCCACCCCCATGCTTCACAGTTGGTATGGTGTTCTTTGGATGCAACTCCGCATTCACTTTCCTCCAAACACGACGAGTTGTGTTTTTACCAAATAGTTCTACTTTGGTTTCATCTGACCATATGACATTCTCCCAATACTCTTCTGGAACATCCAAATGCTCTCTAGCAAACTTCAGACGTGCCTGGATATGGACTGGCTTAAGCAGGGGGACACGTCTGGCACTGCAAGATCTGAGTCCCTGGCGTCGTAGTGTGTTGCTGATGGTAGCCTTTGTAACATTGGTCCCAGCTTTCTGCAGGTCATTCACTAGATCCCCCCTTGTGGTTCTGGGATTTTTKCTCACCGTTCTTGTGATCATTTTGACCCCGCGGGCTGAGATCTGGCGTGGAGCCCCAGATCGAGGGAGATTAGTAGTGGTCTTGTATGTCTTCCATTTTCTGATTATSGCTCCCACAGTAGATTTCTTCACACCAAGCTGCTTGCCTATTGCAGATTCAGTCTTCCCAGCCTGGTGCAGGTCTACAATTCGGTTTCTGGTGTCCTCCGACAGCTCTTTCGTCTTCACCATAGTGGAGTTTGGAGTGTGACTGTTTTAAGTTGTGGGCAGGTGTCTTTTATACTGTTAACHACTTCAAACAGGTGCCATTAATACTGGTAATGAGTGGGGGAAAGAGGAGCCTCTTAAAAAAGAAGTTACAGGTCTGTGACAGCKAGAAATCTTGCTTGTTTGTAGGTGACCAAATACTTATTTTCCACCATAATTTGCAAAAAAATTCTTTAAAAGTCAGACAAAAAGATTTTCTCAAATTTTTTTTCACATTTTGTCTCTCATAGTTGAGGTCTACCTATGATGTCAATTACAGGCCTCTCTCATCTTTTTAAGTGGGAGAACTTGCACAATTGGTGACTGACTAAATACTTATTTTCCCCACTGTAATTAAGCTAGCTGTTAATCAAACAGAAACTGTGAACCGATGCCCTGTTCAGTCAACATTTTGTTCCTCCATGTTGTCACAGATGCTAACAGTGGACAGGGCTCAGTCTAGTGATATTTAACTCTATGGGAGGGACAGGGTCCTTAGCAATGCTTCCCAATGCTTACCTCAAGTCCTGTTAGCCCAACATTTGTTTTGTTTATCTTGAACTGAATTTAAGAGTTGAAGTGATGAATCAGTCATGTTTTAACAACAAATTTTAGTCAATATTTAGTCACCAGTTATCATTTTAATCTTAGTTAGCTAAATAATATATGTGACTCATCACATAATCAAGGATTGCATCACTTGGTCAATCCAAACCAAACACATTTTCAGATTTTGATACCTAATCATTCTGATTGATTGTAGAAATATGACTTGATTTGTCTTGATAATCAGGAAGATCCCTGGAAAAAAATGTCTGAATCCTATTTTTAGCATATTTTAATGAGGATTTCTTGATGACTTTACTTGTTTACTGAATTGCTTTCTTTCTTTTTCTTTCTTTTTTTTTTTTTGCATGAGCTTTAAATGAAGAGTGCAGAGAAGCCAGTTGTGTTGATCCTTAGCAATCTGCAGAAGTCTCACCTTTCTGCATAACAAATTATACTGAATTAGCGGTTGTACTCAAGCTGATTGGTCTTGTTTTTATTTGTAAATGAAAACATTATTAACTTTAGTCATAGTTTTATTAGCTGTATAATAGCTTTTTAGTTACTGTCTCATTTTTGTCTGGAATTTTTTTGTTTGTGAATAATATGACAAACTATATTGTCATCAAAATGAACACGGTATTTCAATTAGTCTGGATATGGTGTGCTTTGCACCGTCTAATAAAAAAAACTAACAGTGATCATCTGCTTCTCTCTTGCAGCTGAAGGATATACTTACAGAAATCAGCGCAGGTTCTCAGAGGAGATTGACTGGTCATATGCAGGTAAACCACAAACATGAATGTTTAACAAATTTCCTGTAATAACATGTTTTATAGTACATTTCTTATATTTAAAATAAAAATAAGCTTGCATGGGACTTATAAAAAATCCTAAAGTGGAAATACAACAATTCTGTTTAGTTATCTTAATTGAATGTCCCACTGGTGTCTTTTGATTGCCTCTTTACACCAATATCAGTATAGCAGCAATATGCTCAGCATTCCTTAATAAATATACCTAAAATCATCCATCCATCCATCCATCCATCCATCCATCCATCCATCCATCCATCCATCTGTGCTTCATTTTTGCTGTAGTTGTCCAATTCCCCCCCACACCCTCCACCCCCAGTCCTTCTACAAACTCCTAACACTGTCTGGTAAGAGCATGTTTTGATATTGTATCTTTATCTGTCCACCAGGAACTTTAAACCAACATAACTGGGCCAAGAAGTTTCCATCATGCAGCAGTGCCAAGCAGTCTCCTATCAACATCGAGGAGGACTTGGCCTCAGTGAAGCTGCAGTACCAGAAGCTGATGTTTGATGGGTGGGAGGAACCGACAAATGAGAGGACAACCATCACAAACAACGGCAAGACAGGTAAAAGTGATTGTGTTTAGTCAACCTCAGACTTGCACTGGGACAGTGGTAGATGTTGGGAATAAAGCTCAGATTCAGACAACTGACCTTTAAAGAGTAAATCTTGTGATCACCACTGGCATCACAAAAACATTTGTACTTTTACAAAGAGTAACATGTAAAATACACTGTTATTATGATACTTCTGCTTGGATTTTTCTCAATTTATCTGGTTAAAAATGCCAGTTTTCAACCAGGAGAAAGCTCAATTTGATACTCATGCTCTGAGCTCACCTTTTCATCAGAGATGGTTGAACTTGAGTCTCTTCTACAAGAGGCCTGTTAGTTTGAAGGTTCTGCACAGGTAGTTTTCCAGATTCTTATGCTTCTTTTTCTAGATCACTTGTGATTTCACCTCTGCCTTCTTCTGAAGTTTATCAACAATCAGAGTGTCCGATGAGTTGGCATTGCTAACTTGGCAATCACCTGTTTTTAGGTCTGGACTTTGACATCCTACAGTATCTTAGTTCTTCTGTTCTTCACCATACTTTATGGAGTCTCCCACTTTGACTCTGGGACCTCCAGTTACTCAGCACAGATGTAACTTTTAAAAAGTTCAGCTTCTTCAGTAGTGATCACCTTTGTCCCCTTGGATATGTGTACTGTTCACTTTTGGCCCATGCCCATGTTGCAAATGAGATCTTGATCACAATAGGGTTTTAATCCAGTTAAGTAAAGGAAATGATAGCATTTAACTACATTTATACAGTCCTGTTGACCTTCCAAAGTCCTTGCTGTATATCTTGCTTCATTCAACAAGTGGGGAATTATTTCACCTATGTGTGGCATACAGCTTGAAGTCATCCATGTAGAGGAGGTGACTGATTACGGTTCTACTTTGAAACTGGCACTCTTAGCCTCTTTTTGTGATGATCTGGCTAAGGCAGTTAGGAGTGGGGACAGAGCACCAACTTGGTTCATGCAGTACTTGGTGACTCATTCATCAAATACTGAGGTTTGAGGTCTCTATAGAGTCTTCTTCTACATTCCCACCGAGTTCTTGATGAAGACTCTGCTTCCTGTTGAAGTACAGTTTCACACACTTTAAGACCCATGTAAGTGTCATCAAACTGTAGGCTTCCTTGTAGTCAAGTCCAGCAGTGCACAGGTTTGTGTGTCTGTGTGGTCTCATGGTCCAGAACAACAGTTCTGTTGACTAGTAGCTTTGGTCCTCTGGTGGTGGTGTTGATTTCCTTCTCTGAGCCATTTATTTATTGAGCCATATGACTGTTCTTTGGTGCAATGATGCCTGAGACGTGCTTCATGTTGTACAGAAGCATGTGATTGTCTCAGTCTAACAAGAAGAAACTAAATAATTTAACACTGCAGTATATTTGTTAGCTTTGATTGAATTTTCACAACAGAACAACAAGCCTTTGAAATAAAACGAGGTTGAATCTGAGTGAGGGAGTGAGTGGTTATTTTAGTTCAGTGAAACTTAAAATTATAACAATGACTGATCAAATTATACAGAAGGGAGTTTCTTCCACCGCCACTATTAGCAAAATAGTTCTAACCTCTTCATGTATCAGGTTTCAGATGAAAGATGACTTTGCAAAAATGACTTTTTTTTAAATGTTGAAAATTTTCATTACATTTACTTAAAAATGGTCTTGCTTAAGAATAATAAGCACATATGTATATTGTACTTTTAAATGAATGTACTGCAGTAAAAAGTTCTGATAAGACTCCACTTTCTTTGGCTTTAAAAACATTTTTGATCAATGAGAGTTTTGCGTGAAATTGAAAAAGGCTACATTTGTTATAATATTTTTATTCATTGAGTTATTATTTGATGGTCCATTTAAGTTCTTGCAGGACTATTATATTATGTACAAACTAACTTCCTGGTGTGACTGCAGTCTTGTAATCCTGAGGCTTCAGTTTAAAGCTTAGGTCATATGAAAGAAGTACATCTGACATAAAACATTGTATAAACCAGTCAGTTCACTCGCTGTGAAGATCTATATACAGTATTTGGGAGCAGCCAAAGGAAAACAGCAACATGAGCTTAACATTCTTCTTAATAATATGTTTACCTTTATTTATTTATTTATTTGTGGTGGTACATTTTGTACCTTTTAAAATAATCTATTTTTTTACACAGACTCATAGTGTATCTGCATGATGTTTTTGTTCTGTCAGTGACGGTCAATGTGGATGGAGAGTTCTATATTAATGGAGTGGGACTGAGGTCAAGGTTCAAGGTGGGCCATATCACCTTCCACTGGGGCCGCTGCAATGCCTCCTCAGAGGGCTCCGAACACAGTCTGAATGGAGTCAAGTACCCTTTAGAGGTAAGACGTGATGACTATGATGACTGAGCTCAGAATGTTTCTTTTTTAAGTCTTCCACACACACGAGGTGTAGTAGGACTGGGAAATAGACTCTCAAATTAGTCTCTTAAATTAGATTTGTGATATTTAAAACTGTAAGAATACAATTTTGCTATTGCAACTTGTAGGTAGCATTATTTTATAAAATATTTCATTAATATGTCCAACGGCAGGTGCACATGAAGAAAGTATTTGCTGGACTTTTTTGTCCGCCTTGGCGGAGGACATAGAAATGCTCTCAGTCTGTCTGTCCACCCGTCCATCCAAATGTTCACCTTATGAGATGATTTGAATTATGAAGTCTGTGATTGTTCCAACAAAACTGTTAACAGTTGGCATTACTAAATGTCCAACCGTGACATTTGCAAGGTCATCTGATCCAAGATGGCTGCCACCGTAGCCGAACCTTACATCACATAAAAATGTCCGTATCTCAGTAACGTAAGCATCTATTGAGCTGATTTTTTGTAAGTAGATCTAAGTATGTGCCAACACATACTCTGCGTGTTTGTAGATCACTAACGATCTTGCAATATTATGGGGAGATTGTGATTTGCTACTTTCTGCCATTTTTACTTTGAACATGCGACGGGGGACATCAGCGACGGTTTGACCATTTTTGTCTTGTTAATTTGGACTTCCTAGAACTTTTCGTGACCCACAATTATAACAACTAGTAACACAATCCTCATGATGTGTGTCAATAAAAATCCTTTCCTGCTTTGTGATCATCTGCAAACACTCAAAATGCAACAGGAGGATCAGCTATTTGCTGGAAGAGACATTGGGCCTTATGCAAGAACCGTTCGTACGCACAGATTTGTTCTTAAGTTGTGCGTACGACTGATTTAGGAGAATTTGTGACATTCACCAATGTTTTCGTATTCTAAGATTTTTTCAGATACGAACAAAATTCACGAGTGGTCCAGACCTGTTGTATATTTTACAAGCAGTCAGTCTGCTATTATCCAGATGGGTTTTTTTACTAGTAAATCCATATTTCATTAGTCTGAAGATATTTTGAGTTGAAAATAAATCAAACTCCATAATTATGTTGACAATTGGTTATTCTGTTTGAACTGGAATTATATTTTAAATGTAACTAACGACATAAATTGGCTAGATTACATTAAATTGGATTTTAATGCTGCTGTATAACACTACAATATTAATATTAAGATCTCAAACTAGGCCCTGTGATGGACTTGCGACCTGTCCGGGGTGCACCCCGCCCCTCGCACTGTGACTGCTGGATATGGGCACCAGTGATCCACGCAACCCTGAAAAGGAAGAAGCGTGTACAGAAAATGGATGGATGGATGGATCTCAAACTAACAACTTAAATTATGCATTAATTGAAGTTTGGAGACGTTTTGAAAGGCATCTCTTCAGAACCGCATCTGACACTTGCGACGGTCGGGATGGGGGAGACGGCCAGGCGGTGGGTGGTGGTGGTGGTGCGCGACCGCCCCTCCTCTGAATAAATAAAAACTATGTAACACAGTTGTTTGCACTTAAATTGAAAATATTTGACCAAAGGAAAACTGGAGCAGGACTAGAGAGAGATTAATATGATTTTGATTTTTATTTCTGTGACTGTATACGACCCACAGGAGACACAACATTAACAGCAGTAGTTATTTCATTTCATTCTTTGGCTTTAGCTGGTCCTTTAATTCCACAAAGGAAATATTTTCTTTTCTCGATCTCGGAGAGCAGGACTTTAATCTCCGAATTCGTAAAGTTCTTTTAACCTTTAGCTGTCATTTTCATGAATGGACACTTCCTGGTATGTGAGGCAGGAAACATAGCCTTATATGGTGTTTTTGGGGTGGTAATTATGCTAATCTCCTCTCACGTGCACAAGCAGCTGAATACGAACAGGTGGAATTTATGCAGCTCATTTACACACTTTTCCTGAAGATAGAAGAGTTTGTGTAATCTGATGTGGCATGTTCGTACGAACCCTTCATACGAACAAGAGAAATTTAGGATAAGAATTCAAACATYTTCTTGCATGAGGCCCATTGAATGTGCCATAATAACGTGGCTCATAGTTGGACTCAAACCAATTTTCTTTAACCAACCCTATCACCAGTCTTGGTCTAACACAGAACATTCTCTTTGTGAGCAGCACTAGATCTTTAAAAAATCACCAAAATAAAGGTCCTATTTCCTGAATAAAAGCTCAGTTTATGCCTCAAATTAATCCCATGATTCAGATATAAAAATCAACAAAACATCTTTAATTAAAGGTTCATGCTGACTGAGCGAAGAGACCAAACATTGTTGTTTATTGATTATAATTCAGAAGTTTGGTGTCTCAGTAAAATATTTTTTTCTGTACGTCATCATCTTCTGCAACAAAAGTTGTTTTTCTCCCACAGATGCAGATCTACTGTTACGATGCTCATCAGTTTGACTCTTTAGATGAAACCAACAAGGCCAGCGGCAGAATCACAGCCCTTGCTGTTCTGTTTGAGGTATGTTGTGTGACTATGATCATGTCCTTATTGTTGGGGATTTTAATATACATGTATGTTATCCGGAGAAGATGATGGTGAGGGGCTTTGTCAGCCTCGATGACTCTTTGAACCTGCTGCAGTGGGGAGCTGATCCCACACATGAACATGAACACACCTTGTTCTCTCTCATGGGTTGTCTGTGACTGACCTGGGAATATGTGACAATGTGATTTCTGATCATTTCCTGTTGTGTTTGATGTTGTTTTTTTCCCATGCTGCAGTTAAATCTTGTGCTCCTGCTTAGCGCTGTAGAGTTTTTAACTCTTCCACTACTGGTCAGTTTTCTTCTGCCTTTGAACAGCTCGGTGCACGTTCTGTTTCTGACACCGAGCAACTAAGCTCCACGTTTGATGCCTTCTGTCAAACCGTTCTGGGCTCTGTGGCTCCATCAAAACTGATGCAGCCTAAGGCCAGACCTAAGCCCTGGTTCAGTAAAAGAAGAAAGTGCCATAGAGCTGAACGAAGATGGAGAAAGGATAAGTTGTGTTTCATATAACATTCTAAAGGACTGTTGACGTCAATATAAAAACAAAGAGTCCAAGAGAGAACATTTATCAAATATTATGTCCCATCATAACAACCTACATGTTTTATTTCAAACTATCGACTCTGCTCTTAAGGCCCCACAACCTCTGTGCATATCCTATGTGTATTAATATATTACTATTAAATATTTAGACAAAGAGAGGAAAAGTACAACATTTCAGTGGGTAGACCTGATGCCTCACAACGAGCATGTCGTGGGTTTGATCCTTGGTTTGGACCTGGGGTCTTTCTGTGTGGAGTTTCCATGTTCTCCTCGTGTTTGTCGTGGTTTTCTCCAAGTACTCCAGGCCTGGTTTTGCCTGGTTAAATAAAGGTTGATAAACAATAAAAAGCGAATTCATACATTTTACCAACATTTAAACAGACTCCACTTATTTTATCACCTATTCTTATTTTATTTGCTGCTCTTATTTCTACTTGAAGGGAAAAGCATCTGAAACCAATCCCATGACTAAAAGTTTGTTTTAGATTTGTGATAATATTGGTTCTGTGTGAAAACAGGTTAACTGTGATGTTTGAGATTAGGAAACCTTGTTGGGTTGAAAAAAGAAACTAAAAGAGGTTTAGTATTAGCTAATACAGCATTCATTTACAACTTCATATCATTTAAAATAAGTTTTTATAAAATTAATAAAACCAATATAACAGCCCTCATCTGGTATTGGACTGAACATCTTCAAACAATGAGCAGACTTGTTCTTTGTAGTTGAAATGATGTTGGTTTGATTTTCAACAGACGGGCTCAGAAGACAACATTAACTACGCATCCATCGTGGACGGGATCAACAGCGTGAGCAGATACGGTACAAGTGGTTCATTCTTCTTTCGCTCCTTTTCGCTTCTTCTCTTCTGCTTTCCTTCAACATTTCTCATTATTTTGTTATCCAGGAAAGACTGCAGAGCTGTCACCTTTCACTCTGCAAGGTCTGCTGCCCAACTCCACAGAGAAATACTTCATCTATAACGGCTCTCTGACCACGCCGCCCTGCAGCGAGAATGTTGAGTGGATCGTCTTCAAAGACAAAGTCACCATATCTGATGAGCAGGTAAAAATTATGTTTTAGAACACAGAAAGTTACCTTGAATATACAGTATGATAGAATCTGATTGTTAGTCTGTAGTTTGTTTGTGAACTATGCTTATAGGAAATATATACTAAATGAGGTTATTTTCTGGAAGTCCACATGAATGTTTGGATTTTATGATGAACAAATGCAACATGTCTGCTTCACTTAAATCATTAAGTAATGCAGTTTAGAGCAGTGTTTCCCAAAGTTGGGGTCGGGACCCAAAGTGGGGTCCTGAAACATCAAGGTGGGGTTCTGAATAGATTTTCTGAATTAATTACATTTTTGCCTTAGTTGTTACAAATGAGTGAGGTTAGTATATTTAAGATGGATAAATGTAGTATAAAAAATGTTACTTTGCCCATGTTTAGTTGACCTGATACAAATGTTTATCATCCAAAAATAGCTGGGCGCACAGGTCTCTGCTACTGTTATTTTGTGGGTCAAAAGATGAAAGGTTTGGGAACCACTGCACTTTGGTTCCCAAAGCTGGGCTTGGGACCCAATTATGGGTCATGAAGCACCTTGGATAATCTCCAGAAATCAATTTAAAGGGTAATAAAATAATTGCTGATGTAATATTTTCCCTATAATTATTACAAAAAACAAAAATAAGTATTTATATTTGTGTACAAGCTGTTTAGATTGACAAAAAGCCTGTGTTTTTAGGGTTATTAACAAAGTTCATGTACTCAGACCAGTAATATTTGGGGTCACAAGTTTTTGCCATGGATATTTTGTGGGTCAGAAGATAAAAAGTTTGGGAACCACTGGTTTAGAGGACTGGTGGTGTGGGGTGCTGAGAAATCTGCTGACACATTCAGGTTAAAATGATCCTGATGTAAACATGGTTCAGACCTTTATCAGTTTATTTAGCTGTTATGAGAGGAATAAAGGTGCATATACAATATTTGTAAGAGAGTATGTGTGATTAATCAAAGTGGAGGTTTTTTGTCCCATGTGAAAGTCCCACGTGTACACCACTGCAGACACATAAAAATAGTTTGTATCATTTTGTTAAACAGTGTTACCCGATTTATTAAGGGCGTTTGCAGTTTTTGCCCCAAACCTGTGGAATAGTTTCCTTTTTTTTTTATTCAGACCGCTGAGACCGCTCAAGAGCCATCTTCACTCCTTGGCTTTTGATTTTGGCAGAGTTAGAAATTCTTTTAGAGCTGACGTTCTTATGTTGCACTTCTGTATTTTTAATTAGTTTGACTCATTTTTAATATTTCTGTGTTTGTTGTTGTTTTATCTGTTCATTTGACTGAGTTGTGATTCACTTTGGCCAACTTCTGTTTCAGGTTCTAAATAAATAAACTGACATTGACATTTATCAACACACCTCACTTAGTGGATAGTTTGCTTTAAAGTCCAATTCTTTTAAAGTGCCTGTGATATCAAACTTTTTTAGATTAACATGAGTGCATTTTTGGAGAGAAAACATTGATAACATATTGCAAAACAAATTGCACGCTGCTGAGATGAACAGTTGTTGACATATTTGCATGTGAAGTAACAGGAAGTGATGTCAAAGGGGAATGTCTGCATGTAAACAGATCATTGCTACAACAGCTAACAACACAAAATGTAGAGAAGAATCTGATACATTATTTTGAGTCACTGTCAAAGACAGATGAAAGTTTAAATGATATTGTTTTAATACACAAAGACCAAAGATTTTATTTTATTAATGAGTTCCCCTTTGATGTCACTTCCTGTCTTACTTTAGCTGAGACAAATTCAAAATAAAATAGGCCAGTTATGTGACAAAATGGGTAAAATCGCGTGTATTAGGGCAATTTTCTTAAGTAAAAAGATGCTTTCTTTGACTTTTTGTATTTTAAGTAAATGCATGTCACAGGCACTTTAAAGCAACAGTATTTCCTGTCATTTCTATTTGGCAACCCTGCCTGGCAGATTCACTGAGCACAGAAATCCTCCGGTTTTAATGTTGATTTTAAACAATCGAACAATGAAAAAGCTGCTAAAATTTCCACAGATGATTCTTATGTAAACAGAGTCTGAGGTTGCTTCCTGTGAATCCAGGGACAAGAAAACATTTGACCCCTCACTGGGGTCATCAAGAGTTCATCTGTGAGCTTCAGAGCGACGAGGAAGAGGCCAAAGTTTCCTTCCACCTGTGTAAAACTACAGCCTGATGAGTGAGCTCAGTGTCAGACTGAAGCTCTGAACCTCAGATTCACTCAGCTTTCTGTTTTCTGTTGTGCTAAAAACACAAATGATGTCATCATAAACCTGAATGCCCTTTAATACAGTGAGAGGTTTAAGCAGCGTCTCTGCTGTAAAGAACCGTTCTCTCATCATGATGTGTTGAAGATACAGGTGTGTTTAGACATAGGTCAGCTGCTGCTTTCTGATTCAAAAAAGAGCACATTACTCACACCTGCTGAACCTGATGAGCATGTTTCAGCCGGTGTGTAATTAGAGTTTATGGAGTATGTAATTAGACTAAATGATGCTGAAATGTCAGAAACCGGAGGAGCAGATTTTGTCCCTAAACTGTAGCAGACAGCTCTCAGCTGTGACTCTGAGCCTGTTTGTTTACGACTCGTTCATTTAAAGGTTTAGCTGAAGTTTAAAAGACGTGTGGCACAAGTCCAGTGTGTTCACAGAGCTGAAGCTCAACAAACATACCAGTGATGGGCGAGCCGAAGAAAAGTATATCTGTGTCTGAGGGCAGCCTGGAGGCTGAGTATGACTGACATCCATCATCATGTGACCTCAACTGTTTCACTATGAACCTCTAAGGTTTGACTATTTAAAGACAGGCAGAGGAACTCAGAGCTTTTCAACATTACACATGAAGTTTCAAACAGGCTGCTTTCATGTTCTTTAAAAACATTTTATTCAATGTCTGAACTTTATTTAGTTAGTGGGTTGTTTGCTGCTGTTTCAGCAGTTTTCCCATCATTGTTGGTTTCAGTTCAGTGGCTCCTCTGGTCATTAACGCATTAAGCAATTTCCTCTTAGATTCTCACTGGGTTCCTTTCACATTGCTGTGTGTGTGTGTGTGTGTGTGTGTGTGTGTG